ATACAAAAGAATTAAAATCATTTTCTCAGCTCTTGAGCTCAAATATGATGCTTTTAGAGCTTAGTTGAGCTGCACAAACCTAAATCATGCAGCCCTTTATGGGCCCAGAAGGCTCTTTGCTCAGCTCATTAATATGCCTATGTACATTCAAGAAAGAAAACAAAATCCAGAGCACAGAGAAATCCATCACCTTGGCTGGAATGTTATGGCTCTTGTCCGACCCATAAGTGGAGTATCAAGTAGATGTGATGTCACAGATATAACAGATGCAGAGCTTGAAGATGGTTCTGGAACCAAAACAGCAGTTGACCCACTAGGAGCAACAAGGAAAAAGGGGCTTGACCATGATGAGCTGGGTAAATTTTCTATTGGATATTCAGCTGGGTACCTAGTCACTTTGACCATTATTTCACTAGCAACAGAACTAGGATCAGGAGAGTACATAACCGGGATAGCTTTTAGACATTCATTATTTGAAAACATTGGAGACTTTAAATTCGGATTGACTGTCAATGTCTGAATTCCTGGTCAAGTTGTTTCGAGAATCCTCTTGTTCAACCAAATCCATCTGGTTCACAGATTGATGATACATAGTACCATGTGAAACTGACGACTGCGTTAGTATTATTCCTGAATGTGGATTGACAAATTTCTTGGAAGGAATAACATGTTTTTTGGACAAATAGCTTTCACTGTCATAATTCAAGGCTCTAGGATGTGGCTTATCCTCAGATGGTAAGAGATGAAGGCCATCCTTCTGATCAATGAATAATCCCTGCTCAGTTGAATCATAGCAAGTAGGAACAATGCAATAATTTCCTTGTAGTTCATGGTCTTGATCTCGAAACTGTCAGCGCAAATCCTGTGCAATTGTACAACAAAAATGGAACTGATATGCAAAGTTCCCGAGCACCAGATAACGAATCCATCATCTTCTCAACCACAACATATATAGAACCTTGCAGAAAACAAAATATAATGGGTATTAGAGAATATAATGCATTAGGTCTTCCAAAAGTTTAATTATAACAAATTACCATCAGACAAATCAGCACTTAAAGCCATTGTTTCTGTCAGCGACAACACAGTTCCACTAGGTTTAGCTGTTGCACTGAATGTCTCTGCGCGTGGAAACTTAACTGCTGCTGGTCCAAATCCAGCAATGTTGAACGTCACACCAAGATCATGTGAAGAATCAACGTGAAAAAATGAGGCTTCCACCTAAAGAATAAGGTACATGCATAATTGTTAATAATGCATTCTGAAACAAGGTCTTTAGTAACATATGGGCTTGGAAGCTTCAGTATACCTCTTTGACTACTGTTGTGAGAGTGGCTCCACCACCTTCTATAGTGACAGACATTGGGTGAGGAAGATAATTTTTAACTGTTAAGGGCGTGGTCAGTGTCACACGATGTATGAACCTGGTCTTTGACCTTTTATGTTGGTGTGGCTGATCACAAGCTGTGACCGATTGCTTCAAAGAACCACTGAAACAGGGTGATCTCCTCAATCTCCCAGAAGTAGACAAGCTTATATCTTGAACAGATAGGCAGCAACGAAACAAATAATTGCTTGGATGAAATGGATTGCAAGCAAGATATCTCAAAAATCCACTCCTGTTTTCAGGTGAGAGAAATCATTGAAAGATTATGCACTTCACACCACGTATAATTGTTACCATAAGGACGCCACATCATGTGACCTGCTTCTGCCAGATGTAAAGGCAGAGGAAATTCATCGCCAGGTTTTATTGAATCTACAATCTATAGTATGATTGAGGTCAGAAATTGGAGATATCAATAATGCAACGAACAAAAAAAATTAACACCACATCTATACTTGGCGGCTAATAATCAAATAACAATATTCCTTTTGGATATACCTTTGATGACATGCTAAAAGGAATGTCAAATCGTAACTGCAACGGCATAGATGTTGAATTTTTAAATATGACCTGCAATTAAATAAGGAAAATATGTTATATATCATAAGTGGTAGAAAGTAATCATCAAGACATGTGTTAGCCATCTAACTTACAGTAGAATACAGTCGTATGAGCTTGCTATATCGCTGCAAAGAGACATCAAACCCCACAGGTACAGGAAGCCCAATATTTGCATCTGCCCTCTTGTTGTCGTTTGAAAAGTTAATATCAAAGTATGTAAGACCAACAAGATCCATTGAGATTGGTTCTGAACTTTCAGAAGTTCCCTCAAATTGGATGGTCATGAAAGAATGCCCAGCCTTGCTTGATAATTTCTTGTTATGTCCTTCAGAAGAAGAAGCTGGTCTATCACTAAATGCTGGTTCCCCCAGTGTCCCATTAATGTAAATAGGAATAGATGCACCAGGTTGAACAGTGTTCTTGTACGCTGAAGTAGACACATCAACATTCTCAGAATATCCAAAACCTTGATGGACATGAAATACAAAGGACAAGGAGGTCATGTTATGAATGGTATAAGAAGCATATTTTCTTGTGCACAAATTCTCAATGCACTGAAGATTGCGCAGTCTTTGGCTCTTATGAACCTCATGTATCTGCACCAGGTCCCTAGATTCCTTGATCATCTCCATGGCCCTCAAGACAACCTGTGAGACACAATCAAGCATACACGATTTAATCATAAATACATGCAAATTTGTTTATAAAGGCCCATCAAATTAAAATGAGAGCATACCTCACAGAGTGATTTGGTGATATTAATATTCAGTTGAGTGGTCGACTCGAGCAGTACATCCGTAATATTGCCACAGCCAAGGGGAGCATCCTTATCATAATTTTTGGTCATAGTAACCTGAAAGCTCCAAGGTTCTAGTAAGGGCTCCCACATGACCTGCAAATTAACAGAATAATATGTTATAGAATTATATTCTCAGATAGAGAGTCACTATGAAGTTGCGATAAAACACCTTGTGGATGTTATTGTAGTTGACAAGCAGGTCTCCCTCAGCAGAGAAATTAGTGGTATTCTCCACAAGGAAAAACAAATCCCTCATGAGTAGCTCTATCAAAGGCCCATTACCACTCAACTGCACAAAAGAATAAAAGGGAATCAAGGATCAAGGAATCTCATGTTAAATGGAATGAAGCTAATCAATGCATTAGATTAATATGATAAAAACAATAATAATATTTTTCAAGTCTATCACTGACAAGTATGTGCCAAAACTAACCCATACTAGGATACCCAAATACCCAATAACCTGATATACCTAGTAAACACTCAAAATCCACCTGCAAAATTATGCTATGATATGAAGACTGTGAACAAAGTTAACTTCTTTTTAATTGTACCATTTTGACTTAAAAGTTTGTCAAAACACAACTTTGATTAATTCCGTGTAAGTATAATATTATAAAAAGTACAATATTTTAACACTGAGACAAATCTAATACGGAGTACCATTTAACTTTATATTTTGGTAAATTATCAGTAAAAACAAAACAACATATTCTTTTATTATTAGCTAAATGAATGTAGACTCAAATATGACCCATCACCTAGGATTCTATGAATCGGGTACAGATTTTAGCATCAAACTCAAGAAGCTCCAAAATAAGGGCTTAACTTAAATATTGAAAAGAATATCAAAACCTTTTTGTTACTACAAGTTTTAAGGAAATAAAATTTATTCTCATAGGCATTGACAGTGCAATTACTACTTCACGCGAACTATTCAGTAGAAGTAAATGATAAAAGTGTTCCATAAGGTGCAATAAAGTGTGTTTTGGATACACTAGGGAAAAGGAGAGAAAAGACAGCTGTAGAGTTAATAACATGCTTTTTTTTTTTTTGGTCAACCCATAAGAGGCAAAATGTTTATTCATCTTCAAACTCTCGTGACTACACATGCCTTTATCTTTCTCTCCCTAAAAAACATCTGAACACTGGCAGCCGGGGAACATATTCATGGGCTTGCATGACCAGGAAATCAAAAGCCCCAACCTTATATTTTCCTTCCTCTTTGACTGAATCTTTGACTTTTCAGATCTAGCGTTTTTAAAAACCTGACAAAGATTCTCCTTCCTTCCTCCTGATACTATTCTGCACTCATTCTCCCTCTAGCGAATACAAACCAAACGTCATGTCAGATTGGGTTCTGTCGACATGAGTATGAAAAGACAAAGTGAAGAGTCCGAGCATCACAGTCATATTTCTTGGTGGCATGTGCTTGCCTCCTATATTTTACTGCACTCGGTTATTAATGATTCACAAAACGGTCTCATACTCTTAGGGGACGATTGAGGCACCTCAATTCACCACTTTGAATGCGGCTCGCTTATGGCTAAAAAAGTGCTCTACCTAGACAATTAAGGTAGAGGCTCTAATAGTCTAGTCTAACTACTCTAAAAGTGTAAAATTTATGTAAACTCCTTAAAAGACTTTGAAATTAAATTTATAGGGAGAGCACAACACAGTCCGTGATCAGCACATCATTTCCAGTTCTGCCACACTGACCGTTCCTACACTCTAACTAAAAACGAATTTCGAACCATAATTCTTCCCTTTTGTTGGACCAAGAGAGGAGAGTTTCAAAAAAATAAATACCATAAAGGAGCAAGCTAGAAAGAAAGACATGCAAACAAAAAGTTGTTCATAGTCCACAGAGCATGAACATATAACTGATTGCTGATTAGTATGATACCAAACTGCTACCAGCATAAATAGATATTACAAAAAAAAAAATTAAAAAAAATAGCAATATAAGAACAACACAACAAATTTCCAAACACAGAATCATTTATGTTTTAATAATAGAGGTAGAAAAATACCCTTCCATCAGTGAGCAAAAGTGAGGCTTTCTTCAGTTGCAGTTTCAGATCAAAAGTCCTGAAAGTGATCTCTGAATCAGCCTCAGCTGTCCCAAACTCAATACATTGCAAAAAGTAGAATACTTGTTGTGACAACCAAACATCAAAAGCTTCACAATGGACCTGAACTTTGACCCCTATTTGGACTTCCTCATATTCACAGATATGTATATCTATGCCTAGCTGAAATAGCTGGAAGAATGGCCAAGACTGTACAGAACCACTCTCACATATTCCCACTGACCCAGTTAATTTTTCAAAATTAGTTTTTAAATTCAAATTAGGGCCATTCACTTGCAGTTCAAAGCTTCGGCTCTGCAAAGTAACTGTTAGGAATTTGGTGTCCTTTCCTCTACTTATTGCATTATGAGTTTCTGAATTCAAGCCATGAGATTCTAAGTAATCTGATTGTGCAATTGCATTTTCACTGACCCATAGAGGGATATGGCACGATACATTAATGTTTTTGGACTTCACAACTATAGAAACAGCATTGTGTTCCAACTTATTTGACCCTGGCAATGATAAAGTCTGCGATTGCAGGGACGTCTGCACTGAAAGTTCCCCCAGCCCAGTAGTGTCCCCAACTGAACCTTGGGGGTATTGTAAAATGCATGAATACACATGATCAATCACCATGACCCAATCAGATAGATGAAGCCATATCTCCAAGGAAGGAATTGTAATGTGAAGCTCGATCACATATTGCTGATTGGCAGACAGACATGTATCACGAACTGATGCACATGCGCCGTCTGATAAACATTGTGCTAGACATATGGACTTATGCGATGCGGACAGCAACAGTGTAGAGAATTGGATATCCAAACACAATATTATGTCATTCTTTAGAGTTGCTGATAGTATAAAACCCAACTCCAGTCTCCCAAACATATCTCGAGAGTTTGAGTCTCTTTTTAGGCTAATAAGATTAACAGCCATTGATGTGACGCAGCACCTTATTTCTGTCACTGCCATGCTTGAGCCTTCTGGATTTCCACTGTTGATATCCTTGAGAGAATTAATTAACTCAAGAAATCCGGGAATGTCGCTTTTGAAATATTGGGATTTTTTGTCAACCAATGCATACTGATCAATTACCTCTGTAAATGCTCCAAACCCAGAGAGAAAATTGCTGTCTGTCATGACAGGGACCAAGAAGAAAGTAGAAACAAGTAAATAACATAATAAATGAAGAACATATTAAAAAATATATGTTTTAAGAAATATGAATGTCATTATAGGATAGCCTACCTTCGGCATTGATTTCGCAGCATGCAATTTTAGTCAAAATATACATTGGAGATTGTGAGCCTGAATTTTCTGAAAGCCTAAGCCAAAGATCAACACCAAGTGAATGAACTAAAGTACAGCTTTCATTCTCAGATTGTTTATCAGATACTGAAATATCAGATCCAAAGTCCTTAAGAGTCAGAAATGAAAGATGCAAATCCCGTCCAAATATATTCAAAGAGTGAGCTCTATCAGCTACTTCATCCTCCTGAATAGAAAACTCCGAAAAAACAGATATAGATGCTTTTTCCAAGGCATCATCTTCAATAAAACTGCAGTAAAGCTGTTGTATATCAAGCTTCAGAAATTGCTTCTTGTTGCTTTCAACAGGTGATATTATGACGGACTCTATTATCTCGAACTTATAGACTATGGATCCATGATAATCTGTATCAATATGCTCATATTTCTCTGTAGCCTGATGCTCACCATCATTTGAACTCCAATCAGGCAAGGTAAAGTAGCCAATCAATATTGCTAAATATTTAGGCGGCAGTACACAACAAACATGCTGAATGCCAAAACTGATCTCCAAATCAGAATTCATATGGTAAGCAATTCCTCTCCTTATCCGTATATTTAACACAGGAAAAATGTTAGGGTGTGAAGGCCCCCACAGAAATTCCTGAAAGTTACATGTCCACCACTCAGAAAAGAGAGTAAGCCCCTCAACAGAAGACAGTACATCAAACTGGTCTGAGTTACTACTAATTGAAGCTTTACCAACTGGTATAGTAATGCTACCTATAACACACGACGAATCATGAAAATGTATTCTAACATTTTCCATGTCTACTTGCATATTCAATAAACTCAAATTCATACAGTTGTCACCTGGCTCAGGGGCCTTTAGTAATGGTGTTTTTAGATTCTTCTTACAGTCTAAATTCCCAACATTCTTCTCTCCCATATTAATATTCATCCACTCAGGAATAATGATGGTGCTATCAAGATCTCGGAGACGCCCAGAATTACGTATTGAGACAAAGGGGAATTGATCCAGAGGAATACTTGCCCATTCAACTTGTCCATTCTCACAAAAATTCGATACACCAAACCTCTGCAAATTAGAAGTAAGAGCATTTGTTGGTTTCAACTCCTGGTAGAAAGAATTTTTGTCAACCCCAGATCCATTAAACATCAATTTCTCACAGAAACCAACCAGCAACTGCACTATATCGGGATAGCAATGAAAATCAATATCACTTAAGTATAAAGTGCAACGATGATTAGTTAACTCCCCACTTCTGTCAGCTACGTAATGCAAAAGAAAGCACCCATTCATTAATTCATTCCAATCACAATCACCACCATTCTCACTCCTTACAGCTTGTTGATGCAAAATATCTTCGTCACCGCTGATCCTGGATGAGCAAATAATCTTGCTATTATCCATCTGTCTGTAGCTGGTGATTTTTATCGCCTTTATAGAGACCCAGAAATCTTCAACTTGACTATGAGCAAACCTATAATATTAATGTAATGAACTTAATCAAGCTTGTAACAAAATACAACATTAGAAACCAAGTTGTCATCACAGAATCAATGAAGTGAGAGAGCGATTGTGTAAAACTAGGCCTTACTTCAGATTTACATTCTGTAGACTGAGCAGCATAAAGATATTATTTTGACAATCACCAAGATCAACTTCCAAATTGAACAGTTCTAAATTCGCAGCTATTGAAAAACAAAATGGCATTGTTGGATAACATGATGACGTGTTTGGCAGTTGGGAGCTTGTCTCCAGGACTTGTTTAGAGTTGGAAGATAAAAGGTGAAGATGCTCAGCTAGGCTCAGAAAAGCATTATGAATCACCGCAGAAAAGTGCACATGAAGAGATGCTACTATAAAGCGAGCCTGCCATGAAAATAACTAGGATTAAAAAGCATGCCAGAAAACACAGTTAGAAAAAGAAAGAATGCATCTCCCTTGTAATGAAAACTTGACTACAGAAACATCTGGACAGCATGTCAGCATTTTTGCAATGTACACAATGATATAACGAACAACAAAGCAGAAGCTAAATTAGTTACATAATTGGGTAATATCTATAGACGCAACAAAGAGAAACAAAATAATGCATTTGCTAGAGCCTGAAATTACCCAAATAAGATAAACCTACTTTTCGGATATCGAGTACAATTTGGTTTCTTCTGATTCAATAAATGACTGGTAAGGCATAAGGCAATTTTAGAAGTGTGCTAGCATGGCATCAGGTTCCTTAATTCCATACTCCATATCAACATAGTAAACCATGAAGACCAAATCCTGTAAGTTTTCGTCAGACATGTTATTTGCTAAGGGCTGATGCAATGCTGATTTGCAAAGCAGGATGTAATAAGTCTTTCAGTTGAAGGAGGAGAGAAGGGAGCATCAAGGTTTTTGGAGTCACAAATACAAAACAAAGTATGAACTTGGTGTTAAACAATGAAGCCACCTCTAGTTGCTTCAGTATCATTTCATCTGGGATGATGCAATGAGCAAGCGAGACGGAAACAGAGAATTTCTCCACCACTGGCAATCCCTGAGGTAAAACGGTCACCTGCACATCAAGGTCAATCCATATAGATCAATCCATATGAATACTAGTTAAAGGATTAAGAAAATGAAGTTAAGCAAGACTGACCTGAAAATCACCTATGCTCACTTCATAATGGTCATATATGTCAAGCGGCTGGGCATTAAGAATTTCATCACCATCTTCCCGACCAAGCAAATTCTTTACGAGGGATATTTGACATTGATCTTTCTTTTTCGGTGAAGCAGAATAGATATTTAAGTTGGAAGACACCCGTAGACCATTAGTCTGCATTGTCTGTACTCCATAAAGAAGCATCAGGAAAATACTTAAGTTGGAAGATTAGTGATTATATTGATATAAAAACACATGTGCAGAAGAAGTAAAAGATAATTAGGACTATAATAAGACAAATAGAGAATACGTTAAAATAAAAAACAAAAAAGGATGTTCCCAGAAAATGCAGAAGAGAAACTGGGTGTTAATTTGAAGGATAAGTATATTACCAAGCTGCATGATTCTGAATTAACATTTTTCCAAGGAAAACTGATGGAGATATTGACAAAATTAACATCCCAAACGACCCTTTGCCTACCAGACAGAACACACCTACAACAAAAATGGCAAGTCAACCCTAGCATAGAGTGTAACATATATTAACAATTTAAACAGAATCTTTTGCACCAGATAATTAATATAACTGGGATTGCATTGATTGAACTCTATGCAATAAATGTTAGTTACACCATAAGAAAATGCCAATACCTAAAAACAAAGAACACTAGCCCAAGCTTTCATTCAAATTCTATCAGCCAGCCATGCAGCCCCATTGCCCAACCCTCTTTCTTTCCATTTGTTTAAGCTCATTGTTTAGGATCCCTATCAGTCTCAGTCTTCCACATAAATTCTTTATTCCATTTATGTATCTATATTACAGAAGAAAAAAAAAATGACATATTAAAGACTCTCATTTATCTCTCATGCAATCAAATATATCTAATTCTAATTCTACACACTATTTACACCCCCACAGCACATCATCATCATTTTCCATAGTTGTATTAATGCATTTCAAGTCAGGAAGTGTCACGTGACTTCCAGCTATCATTCATAGATATCAATTTCATTGGATTTAGTGATATATCTTCTGCAAAACTTAGGTTTGCAATCGCATACATCAATATGAATCCATGCAAAACAATATGTCTCAGCAACTATGCTATAACACTCACTCTGTTTTAGATTGTAGTCGACAACTGGCATCTTTAATGCCATTCAGAGACAAAAGGACCTGAGAAACAACAAGTACACATCAACATCATAAAGCACAAACGCGTACTCTAAGGAGTGGCAGAAAACAAAGGGTTAGGCATTTTACCTAGGGAAGAGAAAACTATCAATAGAAACCGTATATCTGGTCTGAAATTTTAAGACATCAGATACCAATTCTGATATCAGTTTCAGAATTTTTGTATACCCAAAATATTTCAGAGCTCTTATTCAGTTTAAAATTTGGGTTTCTTAAAAAATGTATACAAAGATTCAAAATTAAAATCATTAACATATTATTTCGGATATTGGATATCATGTATATAGAATCCGATAATATTAGGACATCGGATATCAGATAACCGAAACTTTTCAAATTGGATACAATTATCAGATATACGAGCTTTAAACAGACTTAAAAGAAAAGGTATGAGCAGACTTAATATGTACTTAATATGCAAGTACACTAGCATTCAAAGAAAAGATGTAACAGGGAGGGTGTGACAAAATTTGCACAAGGATACCCTTTTTAATAGTCTTCCTTCCATGCTTTCTGTCTTTCTTCATTAACAACCTAGAGGTTTTCATATTCAGGAAGCTTTGCATATTAATCTGACCTTTCATTTAACTCTATATAATCCCACCGTTTGCATCCATCTTCTTCAAATAGGCCTTACCATTAAGTGTCCGGTTGAGCAGGTAAGTTTAAGTGGCTTATATGAAAATGAAAAATATCCTATAAGACTAAGTGAAAGTATGAAGCCCCCCCCCCCCTCTCTTTTTTAACTCCTCCCTCCTCCGTCACTTATAGGAGGGATTATTAGTGACAATTTTTTTCTTTGTCTTTTTCTACAATAAATACCACGGTTTCAAAACTCAGTCGCATCATCACGTAATTTAGTTTGAATGAAGAAAATAAAACCTCTTGAACAGAAATTCACACATCAAATAAAACCTCTTTTGCAGCTTTACCGTAACTCTTTTACTCTTCTAAGCAAAAAAGAAAAAGAGGGGTTGACAAGAAAGCAAATTGCTAATAAGCAGCAGTCAGCACCTAAAGAAACTAAAACCATTTATAAAATTAATAGCATACCCTTTGCTGCAAAGATTTGTGGGATCCCATAACACTGAAGAACTCCCCAAAAGGAAGAAGAGACTCCAAATCGCAATATATTTCAACTGGCTGGACCTTAACCTGGTCACATCAAGATGACAATTTATAGTGACGAGGACTTCAAAAGTATACAGGTACAAGCTCACAAAGATTAGCAATAAATAATGTCGGATATGAGTATTGTAAATACCCTGAACATTGATTCTGCCATCTGATTCTTCAATGCAATATCAACTTCGATGGTTGAGGAAGGTGTTTCACTTAGCAAACCATTCTCTCCATTGAATACCTGTAGATTAGAAAGTAAAAACAGCACCATCCCAAAAATGAGCAAAACTATTTTTAATCGAGAGAGAGAGAGAGAAATTCCATGCATCTAAGAAGCTCAGGAAAAAGAATAGATTTCGCTAAGGATCAATGTATAAATGCAGCAAAAGACTAATTGCGAGATATGGGTCCTGCAGTGCCTCAATAAAATTGTGTAAAATACAAAATAATGCTTCCCAGGTGCATCTCATGTGCCTAAAGGTGGTCCATTGAAAGCACATCACCTAGGATAAATTTAGCGCTTGACCACAGTCGCCTAGGCAAACTTTTATATACACTGTTAAAAATTGTTCATTACCATGTACGGTCAATTTATGATTTACATGTTTGGTTTTGACTCGATGTGGGGGGGGGGGGGGAACTATACTTGAAATGAATAGAGAAAGAAAGAATGTCGGTTCCATAAAGATGGATGAAAAAGGGGGGAGGAGGGGAACTATATTGAAAAAATTTAAACCATTAATCCTCCACCCCACACCCCCCCCCCCCCGCGGAAATAATTTACAATGTCTAAGACAGCCCAAAGTTCATAAACCCAAATAGCAAAGCTTATGCTTTAGCTTTACTTCTATTTAAAATTACGCTTCGAAGAGTTGTAACCATTACCAAAAGCAAAAAAAACTTATTAAGATGAGGATGATAGACATTTACATACACTCATATCATCATAAATTGCAATACCCTGAGTTTTCATAAACAGGAAATTTACATAAACCCAAGTAGAAACAAGTTAAGTCCACAGATATTATCATACCCATTTGTAGATAGAACTCCCCAAAAATGTTTCTAGTTTCTACAGATATTATCATTCCCATTTGTACATAATCACATTATAGGATGCGAAAAACATGCCATGGAGTCATGGACCATCAGATCCTAAATATAAGAGGTAAATTCTTCTTAAAACAGCCTCCAGCGAAAGATATTCAAATTTACAGCAGCATCAATCTCCAATGTAATTTTCAGGTCCAAATCAAGGACTATAATACCCCAGATTTATTATCATTCAGAGAAGCCAAAGCGATCACTCTTTCATAAAGAGGCTCACACACTTCATTGTTCCACTACTTAGACCATATATCCATGAAAACCAACTTCCATGATATTAAGTCCACATAAGAGTAAAGTATGTTATGAATAATGTTTGTTGTGAAAAACACCTTTTTCATTTGCAATACTGCCATCTGTTTAGACGAACTGGTGACCTCTGCAGACCCAACTTTCGCTAGGATTGTAGTGGATTCTTCCCAGACATTGAACTCAATTTGATTGGCACAGCAGCTTAACTCTGCTATCTCTTGGCCCAATTTCCTAAAAAAGGTTAAAATCGATGTCATGAGTTTATTTGGATAAGAAAATTCATCAGCAAAGATATGGTAAATATTACAGAGGTGTACAAGATGACATGTATAGGTGTAAATTCCAAAATAAAAAGTCCAATTTAAGACAGTATCAAATAGAAACAATCCAAGAAATAACAGAATAAGAAAAGCCCAATTTCAGTATCAGAATTAGAACCCTTACGTGCTGTTCATCGATATTGACATCTCAGAAATGTGGAAGTTGACAGCAAACAGGAATGCTACACCACTGGAAGCTAAGTTCACATTAGGCATAGGCTGAAACTTTGTAGCTTTGCAAATGTCCTAAGGAACAGTACAGCATTAGATTCTGGACCCACCAGACCATAGCTAAAAGGTGGAAATGAAAATTAAAACTTTATACTGATGAAAGCTTTGTATTCACCTTTAAGACCTCATCTGAGACTACTCCATAAAACTGACTAGAATCATCAGTTCCTCCAGCACCCAGCACACCACGAGATAACCAGTTCAGCCATCCACGAGATTTAACAGTTGAAACTTCTTCATCCGGAACATCTTCTGCAGGACTGCTGCCTTCTATAGCATCAGAGGATACCGAGCTTTGAGAATCCTTACAAAGATATTAACAATTATTTAACATATAGCGCTTAGATGTGATCTTAGAAAAATGAGGAAAACCAATATTTGTCTCTTCAATATACAATAATTTAAAGGAAAAAATTCTCAAACCTTTCAGTCATCCGCTAAAAAAGTCAAAAATCATATTACCTCAGAATAATACAATCTTTAAAGGGTATACGCTTTTCACAAGAGAAACAACCTATAACCGGGTAATCAGTATTTTGTTTTTAAAAAAAATAAAGCTTCTCAACCACACCACCTCGCCCCACCTCCCAACCACAAGATCGCCCCGGTCACCAGCCCCATCATCTCCCTCCCCTATTAACATCAGTCCCATGTCTTACACTCTTACAACATTACAACAACCAACTTCTCCACTTGTGCAGCCACACCACCAGACACCTCCTCAATTATTCTTCTTGCCATACTTATCATGCCCACTAAATGGCTTCACTACACTCTTACACTCAATTATTCAAATCCAGCTCCTTCCCTTTAAATCAACCTTCCTCATAGGCTGCATACAACCTCCATGCCCATAATGGGTCTCCGGTCTCATCACTCCTATTTAATAAACCATCAATGCATCTTGGCAACAAACCCAAAGCTAGCTCAAACGTCAGCATTAAAATTAGCTAAAGAAAGAAAACTTTTGTGCGACATTTCATCAAACAGTTGGTGTACAATATTTAAAAAAGCCACAAGTCACAAGAACCAACAATATTCGATTAAGAAAACACAACCCGAAATCCTAGCATTCATCTTCTTGTGGGCATATAGTCTTGCTACTTTAATGGTGTCGTGCTTTTGGGAGCATTCATTGACAAGTGAACATATAGATATCTAGGGAAACACATAACATCTAAAGTTGTGATATCATAGCAACTTTGATTGTATTACGGTGGTGGTGGTGAGGGTGAGATGGTGTTTTTGTAGTCAAGATAAAAAAGAACAGACCCGAGAGAGAGAGTGGGGAGACAACATAGAGGTGAGGGCAGCCGCAAAGCGGCACCGGTGAAAGGGAGGAGAGAGAAGGGCGATGGAGAGGAGGGCGGAGAGAGAAGGGTTATTGGAATTAATATTCTAAGAAACAAACAAAAAATTATGATAAAAAACCAGACCAATTAAATAGTGACATGTGTCACACTTATTCTGTTAAACAAGTTACTAATAGGTCATGTCTCATTTTGGGCGGATACCCAATAAAGGTTGTAACATTTTGAGATAATCCAAAAGTTAACTTGTTTTTGGTGGACACCAAAAAGGTTTATTTTTTATAATTATTCCTAATTACCTATTAATATCTTATAACTCAACTTCTATCTCTTCGCAAATCAAAAATCTGATAGCCAGTTTTAAGATACCTCTAACTCCCATTCTGCAATAGATCGAAACCGTAAGATATCCTCCAAGTCGACATCCTTCTCCATTTGCTCCAATTTGAATTGTGTATCTTGATCAACTGGCTGGAACAAATTAAAGGGCCAAGCAAACAGGATAACATGAATACCACATCAACTGAGTATCAAATTTATAAAGACAAAAGCAAAAGACAAAACAAGAGGAATTTTATTTTCCCCAGTTTAAGAGGCTTCCCAGCAATGCTGGTCTCATTGTAATAATAAGGGCACATTTGGTTGCATTTGGGAATTAAATACCCATAGGAAGTTACAATATATGGGGCGTTATAATTCCTAGGAAATACTATTATCATGTTTGGTTAAAACTAAAGAAAATTGTATTCCCTATGTATCAACTTCATATGTTTAGTTTGGTTAACTTGATGTACTTCCAATGTATTATAACAAATTTAACTACGTCTACAATTTTTTGAGGGCAATAATGTAATTTCATCCAAAAACAAACATGGGAAGTTTGCGTGACTAAGGTAGGGGCGGGTAAACCAAAGAAAGGACGTCAAGGGGATGACGCCAATACACAAAAGGAGGACTTATGGACTGTAAAGTTCATACCTTCAAAGACTATATAAGGTCAATAGAATTAGAACCATCATACCACACAATCCCTAACACTTTTTTCTTGTTAATCTTGTCAACTCCAAAAGGATTAGCATGGAGTAAATTGAGATAAACACTTCAAAAAAATTAATCGACTCGCCCAATAACTAAATATTACTTTCGAGCTAGGATCCCTTCAAATAATTATAGAAATTTCAAAATGCAACATGGAGATTGGAATGATGAGAAAACGTGTAAAAGGTGCGCCCACAAACAATACTCACTCACGCCATTGAATTAAAATTATTTTTTGTTGCTTTATACTACCTCCGTTTCTTTTAGTTACACGTTTTGACTTTAGCACTATTCACACACTTCCCTTTGACCATGTTTTATGCTTTATACATAATGATATATATAGTCATGTGAAATCTTGTTAGATTCGTCATGATATATATTTTCAAAATATCAACTTTTCATAATTTTTGCTTATCAGTAATTAAAGATATTAATGGTTGAATTTGTGCATTGGCAAACATGACTAAAGAAACGTGTCAACTAAAAAGAAGCAGAAGAAGTATTTTCTTTGCAAGTAAAAAGCTTAATATAATAAAGACATAAAAATATAAAATACATTAGCAAATAACTACCTTTTACATATAAATTATGACATTATAGAATTTGTTTTAAAAAAAGTGACCTTATAAATTTCTATTAGAATCAACTACTAACATATCTTTCTAAAGTAACATCAGATGTAACCAAATTTCTAACCAACATTTCAACACATGGGTCCCAATTTTCCCGCCCCCCTCGCTTTAACTTGATTGTTTCCTTCTATATATAAACAACTATACAAGTATACAAAAGCTAGATCACTCCCACCCATGTCCATAAATACAACATATACATCCTCCCACACATTGAACTTTAATTTTCCATCCATACCAGAAATTGAAAGTCTTTTACAAGGCCAAACATCCTCTAGTTTGATTTTATTTTTCAGCTCTATATTCATATTATCACGTTTGAATGAGATAGGGGGGTTTTAGCTATACGGAATTTTATTTGAATGATTGAGTCTCGTTTGGAATAGTACTTGGTGTAATTATCTTTGAAGCTTACTCATTATTTGTTTAGATCTTGTGAACTGAAAAGGTCTAGCCCCCAAACCTAATCTTTACTGCATACTAAGTTCAATACTGATTCATCAATTAATGTGCCTAAGTCGTAAACATGTGAAATCTTGGAGAAAGTTATAAACACAAGGAAACTAAAAAAAAGCGTCCACAACTTCTTTGGATAGAATAATATGATATCCTTGATTGGTTGAGGGAAGTCACAAACCAATTGCTCTTATTAGAATAAGATTCTTAAAAGTAAGGCCTTGACAATAAAGACATGGCTGGCTTGATTTAACTAATCAAGGAAAATACTCCAATGCAATAAATGAAAGGCTAAAGGGAAATTTGATGGGAAAATAATTTTTACATGCTGGATTGGGTATGGAATTATGCACTAAATCTTGGGACATATTTAGAGTAGGGTAGGTGGCTGTGACTGAGGAGGGTGAACGAATACAGATTCTAAAATTGGTCTCTGCAACAGAAGATACTTCTACTTCCGCACAATTGTACATTCAGTCATAACTATACAAAAAAAATTGTAGGTCGATGTAGCACAGCAAGAGTGCAACTGCACAAGAACAATATAATTGTCTTAAAGGTATCAAATTCCAAAAACAGTAACCATTGTTACCTGCTCCCTCTGTAGGAAATCCAATTTGACTTTGTACAATTTCACATATTTCCGAAGATGAACTCTGGGAGATATAAGTAAATTACTTCAGCAAGAAAAATTATATATATATATATATATATATATATATATATATATATATATAGAGAGAGAGAGAGAGAGAGAGAGAGAGAGAGAACACCCATTTAAAAGAAAAAACGAATTTCAAGATGCTCAGAAGACATATATCCTACAATCAAGCATATAAAAAAATGGCAACATCAAACAACAACTTCAAAACATCACATCAAAACAAAAGATTTAGACCGGCATTGAATTTCGGTCAGAGGTCAGCCTAATAAAGAGTTCTGGCAATAAACTGTAGCCAGCTGAACATACCAGAACTATATTTTGATAAACGTTAAAGCAATGAGTTGCGAAGTATGATTTCCATCCCAAACATTTTGGGGGCATTGTGCTAAAACTGCCATTCTGCCGCTAAAAACTGATCATCAAAATGTGATTGCATAGTACTAATGATAGGAATAAATACAGACTTCAATATTTTCAGTCAGAAAGATACAATGATCAATATAAATAAGTGCAGCTGAAGTTAGTATGATCAGGGGGACAGCTAGTTCATAACAAATTCACAACTACATGTCAACTGGGAGGAAAGTCGTACTTCATCATACTAAACCTTAAAAAGTTGTGGAAATTTATATTTCCTGTTTGTGATTCTTGTGAGTACTCCTCTCATAGGAACAAAATTTAACCATTTATTTAAACCTTGAAATGTGTACTTTACCATTATATGTCCATAAAAACTATAAAAGCATGCGCTTATGAGAGCAATTATTTATGTAAGAAAAAGAAAAAAAACAGCATTTTACAATTTAAAATCCATGAAATTTTCAACATAGCTGTGGTCAGCTTTAAGGAACTGACCGCAAATGTCATAATGAGAGTCTTGTCATATATATCTATTTATATGAAAAATTACAAAATGTACTACTTAAAAATAATAATGCCTCCATTCCAGAACACTTGCAACACCTGCTTTTTATGTCTGTTTCCAAATACGAGTACTTACAACAACACTTCCTACTTTAGCAAGAGACCACCATTATTTTATTGTTTCTCTCTTCCAATAACCCCACTAGTATAAGAACTTTATGTTTCTCTCCCAACCTTACTTGCACTAATTCTTTATTGTTTCACGATCTCCTAAACAATTAAATATACCCCAACTCAATTTACTCGCATCTCAGTTTTTTTCATTTCCATGTATTACCCGCAATACTTCCTAAAAATACATATAAACTCAAAGTGTTCCAAGTGGAGGGAGTAAACACTAAACAGAAATTTTTTATCTCCTTCTCTAAATGGTGGTGCTAGTATCTACAATATTGAGGAATCCTTCAGACTGTGTATACATTTCTAAAACCAACAAAACCACGCCAATTACCCTCGCTGACATCAATAATAAAAATGTCCACTAGTTCCATGCATTCGAGCTGATGCAAGCTGTTAAGTACGAGCTTTGGTCAATGATCCAGATTTATATGGTACTAAACTCTAGAAAATTTATGAAAGAAGTATTTCCTGAAGCATACAACATGTATTAGCAAAAATAACACAGGCATATTGTTAAAATCTTGAGTTTCTTGACCATACAATGTCACAACATCAGATAAAATTCCTGCAAAAAATTAAATTGATTCAACAAAACAACCAGACTAATGAAATCTAAAGCCTAGCATACTCAATACAAAGCTGAAACGCGGTTTTTTAAGAAAATAAAAAATAAAAACACACAAACAAAACAAGGGGAAAACTTTATATTGTTAGACATACAGTTTTTGCCCGAGATACCACCATGATGTTTTCTTCCGTCTCTTACGAACATCAAAAAGAACAGATTCTTTAGCATAGCGCCACCAGACCTTCTGCCACCCCTTCAGTTTCTTCGATAATGGACAGTCCCAGGGACGGTAGCGTCCATACCTGCTGAGTGGGGATGCAAAACATAGCATCATGGTTATGATAAAGTCATTTTTGCTTCTGCTCAGGGTCAAAGAACTGACAAGAGGTGAATATTAAACCGATTAAAGTACATAGATTTGCTAAATGGTATTTGATATTAGCTTCAGTAACACATGACACAAATTGACCATCTTCAGTTTGTGTCTTATGGAAAATAGCTTGTTTTGGTGGATAAGTGGTCAGTAGCTCAGAATTCTGAAACAGTATAAACATTAATAAAAGAAGTGGAATAGATCAGACTATCAGAGCATAAGCATTCAGAAATTTGAACAATACCAAAAGAGACAAGATCTTAAGATATCTGATAAAATGATGAGCCAAAGACAGCCTAATTGAGCCTAGGGTTGAAAGGCAGCCAGTTGTGTATACACTTGCACAGAAAACTGATAAGCTAACGCATTATGTCCAACAGAATTAAACTGTGGTGTCAATTGGGACTATAGCATTTGTTTCAATACATGCCCAATTAAACTTGCTCAAGAGCTTAAAAATCAAACGATAACTTTTTCCAACTAGAAACTAATGAAGCAGATAAACATTATGTGCGAACATGAAAAGAGAAAGTAGTAGATTATATGAGTTGAAATTACTTTTCCCTCAGCTGACATGTACAGATATAGTCTGAAAACTTCAAGATGTGCTGTAGCTGAGTAGGATTTATGGTCATGACCTGACAGAAAAAAATGAGGGGAGTAAAGAAACTAACTAGACATTCAATAAATTGAAACCCAGATATTGCTCCATATCAATCAACCAACCAGTTTTGTCAACTCAACGGCAACAGAATATTGAGGAGCATCAAGCTCAAGCTTTCCAGACTTTGTCACCTTGAGTAGAGCAAGACAAACGTATCAGGGCCAGGCATAAGTTACTATTTTCATATCAAAACAAGATTCATCATGTCTAGAATGACAAGGAACAAATGGTACTAGTTTCTCAATTTGAAAAAAACTAAAGCTTTCAAAAAATTTAATCAGGTTACAAACCACAGTAGACCCCATCAAAACGATTTAGATCAATTAAAAAATGGGACAATAAAAGAAGCAACTCTATGTACAAACTATACTGAAATAAGGTTATTAAGTTTTTTGTATAGACAAATGCAGACATCAATACCTGTAGAGATAAATCAAAGGGTGTCACTAAATAGTCATATTTATCCACATCAGTTGTTGCATTCTGCCACAATTCATTTTCTCCAATAAAATTGGCAACCAAGGAACCCGGAAACCCTTCAAGGGTGCGACAGTGAATCCCCAGACCATAGATCTCCACAGTCTTGTTGACCTGACCACCTCTTGCCTTTGAGCTCAAGGGCCTGGAAACAGTAGATGGACAAAATCATGCTACTTATACTATTAAATTAGGAAAAAAAAAATAGCATTACATTGACCAATGCAAGTAATTGAAGATTGGAAGGTAATCAATTATAGATGAGGTAGGTACAGTCAGAAGAAAATGTAAAAGGCTCAACAAGGATTGAAATAGCTGAAGTGCTGAAACCCCAATAATATTAAATAATACAACAGCCTAACTGCCAAGATTGGAGTAGTAAAGGCAAAGACCAACGAGCAAAGCAGAGTTTCAAAGCACTTTGTTTTTGACAAGAGTTAATAGTATTCTTCACTGTCAAAAAAATAAAATCTATAATGGAAAACTTTCAAATCCCTCTTATTTCAGATTGATATCTACCTAACACACACAACAAGAAAGGATTTCTATTGAATCATCACAAATCCCTCATTTAGCTGGGCCACTATTTTTCCTAGCTTGTAAATAATAGGTAAGCATTTTTACTTTATCTCATTGAGGTCATTTGGCAAGACAAAATAGAGCAGATCTGACAAAGTGTTCACTCAAGACCACCATCAGCTGCTAACACACAGCAAGTCTCACAAACATTTTGGGAGGCAATATGCAACAAGCTCACAACATCTACACAGTTTACATGAGATATATATGGAGTAGTAAACAATAAGACTGTGAACTAAATCTCTTCACCTTATTTCAGAAATTTATTGCTCCATAGTTATTCTTGAAAGTATCTGATCACATCAGATCAGTCCAAACCAAACCAGACCATAAAGATTGAGAAGAATCTAACAAGATCCCACATGACAGTTTTCTCTTATACAATAGTGTTAAAATACAGTTTAAGTTAAATCACATCAGGGCATCAGACATTCAGATTACACCAAACCAGACCATAAAGATTGAGCAGTTCAAACCAGAACATCTTTGATTTGGTTATGATGTTCATTAACATTGACATATCTCAAACAATTTTTGCCAGCAACGCAAGAAGTACATATTTATGCATTGCTCTAATTTCCAAAGGAACATTATAAACAGTTAACTTGCAACCTACACATATTTCTTTGCAGGGACAAATGATTACCCATCAGGAGCTTGCTTCATCTCCAAGCTTGAAAATCTTAAACCAAATAGCATCTGCATCAAAGAAAGAGTTGGTGCACATTTGATTCAGTCTTTAAATATCATCCAGCTCATATCACTTAGAAAATTAAATAAATAAATATTCAAAGAAAACCAAAAGAAATGTGATCTGTTTCTAGATCCTACATTCCAAAGAAGAGTGAGGGCTAATATGACCTAAAATAAGATTAGAAGACATAGATTGTTTAGTATGAAAGTATGAAACAAACTTTTGCTTAAATTTCATGGAAACCACTATATCCATCCATTAAAAACACTCATACAATGAATGTAATAAATGAAAGGAAATCAACCATTAGCATGTTGACCTAAGAAAACAGATAAGGTGATTGGATGCTTATGAATTTGATAGCTAAAGAGGCCAAAATTGAAATAACCAAAGTGAAAACTACAATGACAGCAAGCTACCATGTACAGGAATTGATACTCCACATCAGAATTGATACACTTTGATCAAAACATACAAAATCCACATCAGAGTAAGCTTCCCTACATAAACAACTTCTCCTGTTTTCAATACATTAACTTTGAGCACACGTTTTACAAACATACATATGTTTATAAAAAAAAAAAAAAAATAATAAATAAATAAATTAAAACCGTATGTTACATAATGTAAAATGTTGTTGGATTAGTAACTATTCATATTTTCAAAGAATCGGTTTTTTTAAAAATTTTACTAATAGATAATTAATGATATTAATGGTCAAAAATGTAAGCTGGTAAATATGAAAGTAAAGTCAATTTTAAGGAAATGGAGTAAGTATATACAAGCATAACATTGTCATTTTTATAACATAAAACTTCAAAAAAAAAAAAATAAGGGAAGATAACAAGGGAAAAACAGGGAGGAAGATGATTGTCTGACCAAAGAGAAATTCATTCACACAATAGAATGCTACAGTCTGGATGAGCAAAATCTAGGACCAGATATACACATACAAACACGCTCACAAACACTAACTCTGGTATCTATTATCAGCAACAAATACTGAAAATCAAAGCCATCATCATATCAGATACACATAGAATAACAGGAATAACAAGAAAAATCATCTTGCGGAAATTAAAAAGAGTAACTTTAAAGAGAAAATTAATACCGATGGAGACTCTGTATCACAATATACTATATGAACATTCCTCATAGATACTTGAATGCTATCAAGGATCTGTACAAACAAAATTGTATAATGTGAGTACTTTGACAGACTTAAGTCACTAAACTCAGAGAGCAACACTTATAGAGAATATTAATTTCCAATAATACAGCAATAACAAAACAGACAATCACCCTTCCAGTCACATGTGAGATCAATGATTGCCCTGCTTGATTATCTGCAAAAAAAACAAACAAATAAATAAAAAGGAGAAGAGGAATTTAGAGAGGAAAGAAAAGGAGAGAAAGAAACACAAGGCAAGCATAGGCCAGAAAACTGACAAGAAGCCCATAGAACTGAAATTCAATCTTCTACTCTTCTTTTTCTTAATCATGCATCTAATTAAATACTCTTTCCATCCCAACTTAGTTTGGCTACATTTACCTTTTTCAGCTGTCCCAATTTAGTTTGCCTATTTTTCTGGCAAGGGCCAATTATTATTATTACTTCTCTAGTTCTCTTTACTACCCTTGGCCAACCACTTATCTCTCTCACCACTAATTCGAAAATATTACTACCCAACCATCTCCCATCACATCTACCTTTTTAATTAAACAATTATTGATGACACCAAAACAGCTTCAAAAACTATATGGTCAGATAATTAGGCTAACTAAATTGAGACAAGGGAGTATTATCATTAAACACATGTTACTAGTGACAATGACCTTGCATCCCAGTTGGGTTTACAACTGAAAACTAGTAGTTATACAGTTAGACAGCTTCATTAATTATAGAATCCTTCCTGCGGGTCAGTATGTAAGATATAGGAGGTACAAGGGTGTAGAAATAGTACGCTTACCTATCCAAGGGTTTAGGAGCAAGACAGGGAAGATGGAATCAGGAATGGTACCGGCTGTGGTGCTTGAGGGAGTACAAAAACTAATGTTTAAAAGCAATTGATGGAAGGTACATTTAAGAAAGCAAGAATTAAAGAAGGCTAGGAAAGATGTCAGTCGAATGTTCATCAACTTGTCAAAGAACACACTGAAAAATGGTATGCTATGGTATGGTGCCCATAAACATGAATTGTAGACAGCAAACAGCAACACTAATAACTAATTAGACTCGGTAACAATCAACCAGCATATATTAGTAACGGACTTTGGCAATGCTGTAGTTGACTGGGATGAGGAAACCTTGATCTTTGATGACGATTGACAAGGACCAAACATTGACCAAGGGCTCATTACCAAAGGGTCTTGATGACTTTGATGGTTCCTTTACAAATAAGAAGCTCCAAGTAAGGGCAAATTATAATATCAGAACAAATTTTGCTTTGCCATCCTTCATCTTCTCCACAACTTTTTTTTGACAATTGGCTGTCTCTTGATTAGTAGATTATACTTTTATCTGTCTACCCCTTCCTGTCAAGAACATCTTAATGAAAGCACTAGCCTAGACTATAACATTCAATACGACTCAGTCGAGCAACAAGTACATCATTAAGAGATAATAAAGAGGCATAAGATCATGTCTCACCACAGACACGTCTTGACAGTTTTGCCAACTCTGCAGCAGCAAGCTTTGCTTTTTTAGCAGCTAATTCTCTTCTTTCAACAGCATCTACACTCCACTGCAGATATAAGGGTAAATGAGATAGCTAAGTACATTTTATAACCAATGCACAAGAAAGAGAGACAACAGGCTAGCATCAGATGCTTTCCCCCAAGGAAAACATCTAGGGAAGTTCATAGAAGATAGGGATACCTCATGATCATCACGTGGACCAGCAAAAAAATGGACATCTTCAAGTTCTAAGCTTATTACAATAGGGTCCCAAGACTCCCAACTCAGCTTTTTCCAAGAAATTCCAATTCTAAGCCTACCAACATGACCTGTCAATCAATCAAATGTGGATTTTAATGAAAAATAAGTGACAAGATTTAAACATGCATACTTGAAACAACTCTAAAAAAACCAAAAAGAAAACAAGAACAAAATCACTAGCACAAATCATCATAAGTTTGACTTGTGTGACAAGTGATTCGGATAAAACAATAGTAATAAAACAACTATAAGTAAAAAAAAAAAAAAAAAAAAAAAAACAGATTTCATCCCTTCCCCCCCCCCCCCCACCCTAGGGTTACCATCTGCAAGTTTCAGCAATGATAGGCAATTTTCTTACAAATTAATATTGCAGCGTAATATTAACCCCATTCTTAACTAGCATAACCCCAACTTATGAAATTTTAGGTAAGGAATAAATGTACTCTTAACCTTCCACGAATCATCCTACCCGACAGTTAGGAAAAGATGGTTCCAACATCCAAGTGGCATTAGTTTTGCTACTGACAAGGACCAAAAAATTTACGACATTTTCCTCTCTATGCAAAAAGAAAAAATATTACCTCCTTAGTAATTTATTAAAATAAAAAATAATATATACTTCTCCCGTTTTTTAATAGTTGCAACACACCCTTTTTCACAGAATTTAAGAAAAGTGGGTCACATGATTAAATATACATAAAATGGGGTTGAGAGATTGTAAACAGTATTATTATGTGGGCCATGAGCATTAAAATAAAGGTAATAGTACAGCTTTTACCCAAAAAAACATTCCAATTATACTGTGTTGCAAGTATTATGACATTTCCATTACAGGGAAGTGTTACAACTATTAAAAAACGGAGGAAGAATATATATATATATTACAAAGACGCAAATGGAGTGTCACTCATGTACAAAAGGAGGGCTAACAACATAAAGGCTCATGCCCACAAGGACCTTAACCAATCATTGAACAATTTATCCTAAAATCATGAAAATTAAAGTGACAAGGTGGAAAAAAAAATATATTAAATAATCAATAAAATATTAAACAACCAAGTAAAAGCCTCAAATTGTGGAATTTGAAACCTAGAGAGTGAATGCTAAATCCACAGTAATGATTCATTAACTTTTATTCTTTCTGAATGAACACTATATTGCCAAAAGAATCAATTTCTGCACTTCGGCAACCAAACATTTTATCCTGCTTTCACGAGCAACAAAAGTTTTCACGAAACAAGCAACAAGGTCAGAACCAGTTCCGCACAAAAAAAAAAAAAAAAGGCATAAAAACTAAGTATCAAAGAGAAACATTCAAAGGACAAAAGAGTAGAGGACAATCAAAAGATTATCCCTCCTTAGGTGCAAACTACAGCAATTAATATGAGACAATTCTTTGACTTTTAAGATCTTGAATTGATATCTTTACTATGACCATTGCCAGGCCCAAAAAAAAAAAAAAAAAAAAAAAAAAAAAAAAAGCTATTTGGAGAACTTCCATATTGCAAATGGGAAAAAATTCAAGGAAGATGCATAAGCTCTTAACAGAAAAGGAGCCAGGCTATGCTTCATCATTACCCTCCTTAGAGTCCTCTTAAGTAAAAAGTTGTTCCGAAAGTATCAAGAATCTTCTTTCTAATATTTAGGAAGTTTCGAAAAGGTAACATTCAATGCTTCAAGAAACCATGCCCTACAAACACTTCTAAAAAGGTGGCCTCTTTAAATAAGGCAAATTTGGAACACGGAGAAACACAAGAACAAGAATCCTTCCAAAAGAAATCTAAAATAGCAACAAAATAGAATAACATCACTTATGTTCGTCTCTTCCGTTCCTAAAGCTCCTTATACAGTTATACTCCCTCTATCTTACTTGCCTCATTTGACAAAACAGCGACAAACTCACAAATCACAACACAACAGAATCTTGGTTTCATTATACAAACCCATATACCACAACAAAGTAGCACCACTTAGAAGGAAAATATTTTATAATGATGGAAAAGAAAATAAGGAGCATAACCTATCTTGTGAGCTTAATGGCTTCAAACCTACATATATCATTATTAGCCACAAAAAATGAGAAGAATACAAATTAAAGGAAAAATCTGCATATAATTTGCAATGACTTAATATTAGGGGGGAGCATAATTGGGTACCCTATTAATATTCCTAAAACTCAAAATGGAAAATGGGAACCAAAACCTGAGGACAGGTTCCTGGAAAATGTACTATAATTTTTTGCAAAATTATTTTTAAAAAAATCTGAATTGTCACAAATTTATAACTTTTAAATCTCGCAAATACAACAAACCAAAAGTAGTTGTTTAGCAAATTGAATGCTTATACTTGTAATTGCTTTTATTATTTTTATTTTTAAAAATTTGGGCTTACATTGGTGTATAATTTGAGCTTAAGTGATATCTTTTATCAAGTGGGTACCCTACATAATTTGACCTTGGTGTACAATTTGAGCTTGGTGTATAATTTGAGCTTAAGTAGTACCCTACAGGTTTTGGTTCCAAAAAACAAAACTAAGAATCTCAACTGTCAAACCGGAACCTCTAGTCCAGGAGGTTCTGAACTTCCTAACAGGTTCCAACTGATTTTTGCTCACCCCTACTTAATATGGTTAAACATCACGAGAGATAGCCCAACGGTGCCTATGTTACTTCAAAGACAGCCTTTTGATGAAATTTTGGCCCAAAAGAAAGTGGTATAAAATGTCTCGAGTGTCAATTATCTGACACAAAAAACTTAAGTCGCAATGATGAGATGAGTAACATATACACCTTGGTGGCCAATACTAAAGTTATTACATACAATGAGAGTGGCAAATACTAAAGTTACAACATACAATGAGAGAGCAAAGACTGCCACCGACCACAAGAGCATTAGAGCTATGTTACTATCACACCGAAAATATGAATTTCAGGCTTAATATGATTAGTTCAAATTATGGATATTAATTTGAAATAAGGAGTATAGTGTACAGAACTTCAGATAAATCACAACTAAGTTAGCAAGACTACTCTTAAAACTTCCTAAGAACATAGCACATGATAAAAAAAATTTAGATCTCCAAAACATCTCCCAACCTCTACGATACCAAGTTATAATCCATTTTCTGCTCTATACTTTGGAATAGTATCAGTATAAACATTAAATACAAGTAAATTTTGATTGATAACTCGTAAAAAAGAAAAAGGATGACACCTCAATTGATCATATTTACAAATTTACTAATTTTCAACACTACGGCAATCCCATAATATTTAACAATTCAACCAACATAACAAACAATTCTGGTTTAACCTCACAATATTAACTAACATCTTTCTCAATCACCTCAAAAACTCGAGAGCCACGTGGTACTATCGCACTTTCACGAAATTTCCTAAGAGCAAAAACTACGCTGTACGAGTACAACATTCTCAAAACGACATATCACGATACGAATAGGAGGTTTAAGAATTACATTGTTTGAGAGCAACCGGCAACTGAAGGTAGTCAAATGCTTCAAGAATAAGCTCCACATCCTTCAATACAATTTCATCTGAACAAAAAACAATATCAAACATCACTACATTGTAAACTCCTCTTAATCAAATGTAATATAATTCTCATTATCAATTAATTAACGCAGTAATATACAATTACCTAGAGTGATTTTAAGCTGCTTTTTTGGAAAATCTTTGATGTATTTTCCAAGATAACCAAGTAGCAACTGTCGAATTGGTCCCTCAAACATTGTTTATATCCTGCAAGTTGAACATTTAGTTCCAAAATTAAGCAAAAAATCAAGTATTAAAAACAGATTGCACAAAGTAACGATACAAAAAGAAAAAAAAAAAGAAAAAAAAAAACCTAATTCTGAAAAATAAGTGAGAAATTTATCGAAAGAGTTGAACAAAGAAGAATATAGATGATGATTGTTAACCTAGCGAGTGAATCAATTGAATTTCTGGAAAACTTTGAAGTTGCCCCAAATTAAATTTGATTCCTCGAAATATTGTAATTTGATCGTCGCTTCTGTTCTGTAAGTTGTGTTCTGCTCTGTACGATTATTTCCTCCAGTTTTTCAACGGAGGAGAGAATCCAGTGACTCACCGGTGCAGCGTAAAAGTGAAAAGCTCGGTCCGGGGGGGAAAAAAATGGAGTATTGCATTGAAATTTTCACGATTTATTACGTTAGAACTACTGTTGTTTGTTTCAGGCGACACCTCGAATTGTCATAGTGATGAAAATTAATGTCATACTGCTTAATGAGTTCAGTAAAATTAATTTCCCTTCAATAAAAAATTCAGTTCAATAAAATTAATTTCGCTTTAGTAAAAATAATTATATTTCAATCTAAATAATTTTAGTTCAGCAAAAATAAGTGAAGTAAAAGGGGCCTTGGTAAATAGAAAATAATTTAGAAAAAATTGAAAAAAGAATAATCCTACCTTTTCTCCATTTGCTCAAAACGAACCAACCTCTGCATTATGCAATAATCCCACCTTTGCCCTCTATTTTCTCAAAATAAGCCTTTAACCGATTTTTTAAAATGGTAACCGGTTTGTGAAGGCGACTTGCCACGTATCACCTTCTAATTGGCCCTAATTTCTTTTTTAATTATTTTTTAAAAAAAACAAAAAATAAAATTAATTTTAAAACAAATTAATTTAAAAAAACAAAACAACAGCCCCCTTCCCCGCCCCAATCCTGCCCGCCTGTACGACTACCCCCTCCGCGCCTCAGCGCCGCCCACAGCTAAACAGCCACCCCTTCCCCGCCTCGCCTTCCCCTTTTCCGGTAGCCCGTCATTACGAGGTTGATGTTTTTACTCAATTCACCACGTGTTTCTTGCTGTAAAGTTCTTCTAATCCAATATAATTGAGTTGATGCTTCGAGGGTGGTTGTTTTCGGAGTAGGGAGGAGGATTTCGAGGTAGGGGCAGAATTTTCCGGGGAGTTGGGGGTTTTCGGGGGTTGCTAGTGGTTGTTTTTGAGGTGGGGATGGGTTTTCAGGGTAGGGGTGGCTAGGTAGAGGTGGTGTTTTCGGGGTGGTTGGGGTTTTCAGGTTGTTGGCTGGGGTTTCTGAGGTGGTTGGGTGGGGTTTTTGGGGCGGCTGGTGGGGGTGGGGCTACTGGGGAATGCGGCTGGGGGTGGGCCGGGGCTGTCGGGAACTGGTTTTGCAGTGGTGGTTTGATGGGAAAATGGCGGGAGGAGAAAGATTAAGGAAAAAAAAATTAAAAAAAGTTAAATAATCAATTTAACATGTTGTGGGTAAAAAGACCTACTTTGAGAAAATGGAGGGCAAAGGTGGGATTGTTTTAAGATAACGCAAAAGTTGACTCGTTTTAAGCAGGTCGAGCAAAGGTGGAATTATTATTTTCAATAACTATAAAATGAGGTAAACTACTATTGGATACACGTACAATTTTGGCCCTTCTCTTCACCTTAAAATAATTTTAATTTAGTAAAAATAATTTTTAATCAATAAAATTCAGTATTTTCATAAACAAATATAAACTGAGAATTGGTGAAAATAAGTTTTAAAACATAAAAATAATTTCAATCCAACAAAAATATATAAGTGAAGAGAACAAGGCCTTACTACTATTGTAACCAACTAAATACAAGTATATTTCACTTGTACATGTTTGTAAAAGCTACAAATTATTTCATTATACATAGGCATGAAATTTTTCCTGCGGCGTATTTATTTTTTTCAGTTTAAGGGTGTTTATTATTCACCTGATATTTACTTATGAACTTATTAGACATTATTAAAACTTATTTTATTTGTAATTTCAACTTTGGTAACCCTTATCATAATTTATTTTTTCTAAATAGAAACTATTTAATAAAAATAAGTGAAAATAAGGTGAATAGAACATGCCCTAAAAATTAAAAAATGTTATTATATATAAATCTAAGTAAATGCATAAATACTTAACATAACTTATTTTAAAAGTACATCAAGACTCTCATATTTTAACTATTTTTTTTAATATTTGAAATTCAAATTGCTTTCTTGGAGCTTTTTAACATATAATTAAATGAAAATAAATAAAACTATTGCTGTCAAGATAGCTTAAACACTAACAATTATTGTCAAACTTAGATCAAATAGAATAAAATTTGGTTCACTCAGCTCGAATCATTTGCTAACCTATGTCCTAAGCTGTTTTTTTTTTTTTTAACATTCTTCTAATTATATGATTTCTTTTGGTTGTTAAAATAGTCTTTTAAATAAAATTTACTAATTTTGAAGCCTTTGGCATTTTTTGACCTGATCAAAGCTAGCCCGAGCCTGCTACCCCAAAGCGGAAAAAAGATGTCGACCTAAGGTAGAATTTTTGTGCCCATCTCAAATTAATTTTTGTAATCATTAATCAATCAATAAAATAATACTAAAACAGACACCAGGGACACATGTCAATTCCTGGTGCAAAATTTTCCCTCCAATGCCTTTTTTTCCCTTCTTTTTTCTTTATTAGATGAAATCCCGTGCGATGCACAATTTTTTTAATACATAAATTCCAAGAAAATATAATTTTTTTTAAATTAGATCATATAATATTTTGATTAATTTGTTATTGCTAGTTAAGGTACTTTTAATTTAATGCAATCTATAATGCAGTTAGGTACTTTTAATTTAAGGCAATTTATAATACAGTTAGGTACTTTTAATTTAAGGCAATTTATAATGCAGTTAGATACTTTTTATTAAATTTATGCAATTTATAATGCGACCTAGTTGATGTTAGTTATGTGGAAAAATTTATTATTATATATAAATTATAAATATTGTAGGATATTAGAATAATATACTTGATGTTAAAAGATAATTTTTTTTAATATAATTTCAATTCTAAATCACTATTTGTATTTTTTTTTTAACCTGGCACATAAAATATCAACTATTATTCGTTAATTTTGCTTATGGGCAATTAATTTTTTTTAATTCTTAAATAAAATATGATTTTTTTTTTTCATTTAGGTACTCCATATATTTTTGTACTGTCTTAGACTAAAAGTTTTTTAATCTTTTAATTAATTTTACTATTTCATTCATTTACTTATATACAATTGATTTATTAAAATTATAATAAATAATAAAAACACAATCTCATTCATCAGCTATTTATGCAAAATTATTAATCTTAAAAGATAATTTTTAGTTTTTCAAATAACTTAAACCCTAATATGAAAAGATAATTATTAGTTTTTAAAATTATTTAAATCCTAAATCACTGTTCATTTGACAATTGAATCTGAATTCTTAAATTTCATTTGTTGATTTTGCTTAGATGGCGAATACATTTTTTAATTCTAAAATAGAATATAAATCTAATTTTTCATTGCTTGAAATAATATTTTCGCTTGTATGGCACCTCAAATGCTTTCGAAAAATGTCTCCTTTGCGATGCATGTTTTTTTTATATATTAATTTTGATTTCTGGATCTCTGTAATTGGGCGCGGGGAAATTATGTCGTTGACTAACCTCCTCACGGCCAAACATAATTTATTATAATCCTAAACTAACCCCTAAACAAGTCTAGTGGTAAGTTCGGAGTCGAACCACAAGGAACGGTAATGTTGGATTGTTCTCGATCTAATGCTTAAGCTACGCCGAAGTCGGTTTATGGATAGTGGACACTACAACTACACTAACACACATATAAAGATCAAGATATTACAAAGTCTACTAGGGGCAAAGATCCACTTTGAACAATTAACAAGTTAATGGGAATCGATTTGATAATCAATCATGCAAAGAAAGAATTAAAATGGGAATTAATTACCATCAAGAGCAATCTCTCAAATTCCTAGCCTAGATCCCTCATTGACTAGGTGCATAGAAGAAATTTACCCAAAATGCAATCAAATATATAAATTCTAATTCACAATCCCTTGTCAAACTAGAACTAACATGCAATTAAGTTTGCTATCTTGGGAGATCAATCCAATCTAAAACAAACAACATGCCATCATCAATTCAATCAATTTAATCACACAATTATCATCAAATTTATCTCAAATAACTCAATTAACCATAACAAAGCTTCACTCAACACCTAGTAGAAGGAAATCTACTCAAACATGATTAACAAATCAATTAATAAAGCATAAAGAGAGAAGAGAGTAAGAAATGCTCATTGATATAAAATGGAGATCTTCAAATCATCAAATTCCTCCTTTGATTATCCAAAATCCATGAAAACCATTGTGCTCCTCACTTTCTCTCTCCAAAATTTGAGAGTTTCTCTCTCTAAAAACCTAAAACTAACCTAAAAACTATTCTAAACTGAAAAATCTCTTTTTTTTCTTTAATGAGCAAAAAAATCTATTTATACCCCTTACAAAATTGCTTAGGAAGCTCCGCAAAAAGTCAGCTGAAACGGGAAAAGGTCCGACCGAACTCTGTGTAGGTTCGGTCGGACTCAAGGTAGGTTCGGCCGAACTCAGGGTAGGTTCGGTCGAACCTCCCTGATCCTTGTTTGGTCGAACTTTCCTGGTTCGACCCCTCCTGTAAACATGCTGAAAACTTGGTTGAAACTGCCTTGGAGGTTCGGTCGAACTTTTCAAAAGTTTGACCACACCTTGGTTCGACCGAACCTCTTAGAGGTTCGGCCACACCTCCTCTTGAACTTCCTCTTCTTGCTTCCTCTTCTTCCCTTTTGTTCCTCTTGTCTTTGTCCATGCCTCCATACTTGGCCAAGGGGCCTCCTACCGTGCTTAGGACCGTCATGGAACCTGCAAAAGATAACAAAGATCACGAGAGCATGGGGATGATAAAATTATGCATAAAGATTATCAAAACAAGCGCAAATAAGCATACTTTTCATCCATAAAAGAAAAGGAAGCCATAAGAGGAGAAAAGAGGTAGAAAACCTAAGAAAAACAGGAGAAAAGAGACCAATACACTACCCCTAAGGGTAACATAAATGTCACTCATCAATAATATTTTTATTTTTATTCTAATTTCTTTTACATAAATCAAGTAAATAAATGCCTTTTTTTTTACTTAAAGTCTAAGTTTTTTTAGTTATTAAAATTCTATTATATAAATCCCTATGATATTGTGATTAATTTTTTATTAGAATTGAACAATTTTTATATTTTATGTAATTAAAAATGTGATTTAATTTGTTGATGACACTTGAAATAATTAAAAGTAAAATAAAATTTAAAAATCTGTATACATTTATAATAATCGGATGTTTGTATAAAATCTCTAATGTTAAATAATTTATTGCCTTTTTTATTATTTAAATCCTTAATCACTATTAGTGGTTTTTTGGTTACGTGGAAATTGAATTTAATTTCTTAAATATCACTTGTCAATTTTGCTTAGGTGGCGAGTGAATTTATTAATTCTAAAATAAAATACAAATCTATTTTTTAATTGGTCATAATAATACCTTTGCTTATGTGGCGCGCCGAATGCTCTCGAAAAATGCCTAATTTATATATATTTGATTTTTTTTTTACTTAAAGTCTAAGTTTTTTTAATTATTAAATTTTAATATTTAAATCCCAATAATTTTGCAATTAAATTTTTATTAGAAATGTATAATTTTTATTTATAATGTAATTAAAAAATGCGATTTCATTTGTTGATGACATTAGAATTAATTAAAAGTAAAATAAAATTTAAAAATTCATTTACATTATATTTATCGGATATTTTGATAAAATCTCTAATATCCAAAGATAATTTTTGGCTTTTTAATTATTTAAATCCTCAACCACTATTAGTCGTTTTTTAGCTACGTGAAATTGAATTTTAAATTCTTAAATCTCATTCGTAATTTTTCTTAGGTGGCAAATGAATTTTTTAATTCTAAAATAAAATATATGTCTAATTTTTCATGGTCAAAATAATACCTTTGCTTATATGGTGCGCTTAATGCTCTTGAAAAATGTCTACTTTTTTTTTTATATATATTAGATTAGATTAGATTTTAGCCATTTTATAAGAACTTGTTTTATTACGTTTGGCTAGAATCTTATAATTATTTCAGGAAGTTACCTATGATTCAAGATTTGAATTTATTTAATTTTTTTTTTTCCAAATTTCAATAATTTTTGTCAATAGTGTATTGATAATTTTTTTTCTAGCATTTTTCCTAAATAACTTCTTTTTTTTTTTGGTGCAGACGAGGAGCTAATCCCCACCATTTTCCTAGCTAACTATCAATGCAATTGTAATCATTTTTAATCCATCTTATATGTAGGTCTTTGTATACTCTTAACTAAAATATACGAAGTATATCCTATCAATAATTAAAAGAAAAAAAAAACAACTACAGTATTTTTAGACATATATCAAAATAAATTTGTCAATTTCTATAATCTACCATGAAATATAAACTCATGCACGAACCAACAAAATTTGACTGTGTTTTTTGGTCCGTAGCGAGCTTT